AAGAATTGGAATCTGTTGATAGAACCCTTTCTCCCTTCAATTCGTCCAGCACGCTCATATATTGTGGCCAAATCGGTGTACATGTACCCAGGATATCCACGTCTTCCAGGTACTTCTTCTCGTGCGGCAGACACCTGCATTAGCAATAGTTTCTCTAACGCAAATGGCATAACACTATAAACAACATGGATTTAAGATGAATAAAGATTAAACTTCTAACATTCACATAAAAGCTTTCCATAGCTACATAGATTTCTGAAATGCATGAATTAAATGTCAAGAATGTAAGATCAATCCGGATCATTAGAAATAGTAAAACATAAAAAATCATACATGGTTCCATATAACTATGCTATGGCTAGTAGTCATAGACACCAGAGAGTTTGCACTAATGAGACATGGTTGTTTTCCGTTATCTCACGAGGAGAATCAGCATAAGAACTCATGTCTGTAAGTATCACAAGAACATGCTTCCCGCATTTATATGCCATGTATTCTGCAGTAGTGAGTGCAATTCGAGGAGTAAGAATACGCTCAATTGTGGGATCATTAGCCTGTAGAGAAGAAAGTAGAAGCTAATTTCCAGCTATAAATAATTTTTTAAAGTAGATCCAACCTCCCAACCAAACCACCGTTACCTTAAAAAATAAACAAATGAATAAAGCCTTTGTATCTCAAATTGAATTATACCAGGTTTAGGAAAAGAGTCACTCTCTCCATTGAGCCATTTTCCTCAAAGTCACGTTTGAAGAACTGTGCAGTCTCCATGTTTACCCCCATAGCTGCGAACACAACTGCAAAATTATCTTCTTCACCATCCTGAAATCAGTGAGTGAAACAATCAGAATATGGAAAGGTAAAATAGCCACATCAAAGACAAATATGCATCATGTTTTCAGTAGTGAGAAATATTAGTGGAAACTGATAACTAAAACAAATTACCAAATGTTTTTTTTTTCATGTATCTACAATTTTGAGTTCACTGCAATGGGACAAGCAACTGGGTAATGACATACAACAAAATTAAAATGCCAATTGAAAGAAACTTCATTAAAATTTCATAATTGATTTACACTTAGCACATTAACTCGTTCAAATCATCAAGGATGTCCAGGGACGGACGCAACCTGGATGTCACATTATTACCAGACAAGCAACATTGGTACATGAACTTTACCTCAAGAAGATCTCTTGCCTTCTCCAAACGTTTCACCAAACCAGCCTGACGACAAATCTGAGCAGCAATTTCATTGTGGGGAAGACCAGCAGATGAGAAGAGAGGGATTTTTACCCTCTAGCAATTGAATTCATGACATCAATTGTTGAAATCCCTGTCTGTATCATTTCTTCGGTATAGGTTCTCTCACTAGGATTAATAGAACTCCCTACAAAGTAAAAGAATAAAGGATAAGTAATGTAGCTAACAAACTACAGATGGCAGACAACTTATAGCGTTCAATTATCAGTCATTCCACAACACTGCCTACCAGAGATATCCAAATATGCCTCAGGCAAGATAGGTGGACCATTATCTATTGGCTAGCCAGAGCCATTGAAAATGTGCCCAAGCATATCCGAAGAGACAGGAGTTTTCAACACCTACAAAATAGAGTTAGGAGAAGAATTACAGGCAACTGAGTTCAAAACAGCAAAAAAATTCAGAGAGTTACACAGCATTATATCAAGTGCTTGTTTCCCTATGGGCGTAAGAACAAATACGCACACAAATGGTTGGTATAAGATGCCTATTTTTTTTATGCTTATCATGTCAAAAAAACCAATAAACATTAGAAGTAGTCTAAATTCTTGATTGTATAAACCAATAAATATTTTTATATAATTTTGAAATAATAAGATTATAAATTAAATATATTTTGAATTTTTTAAATTTTAATAATAGAGACAATTTATAATTTAAAAAGTACCAATTTTGGGCGTTGTAGGGGTGCTAATCCTTCCCTAAACGTAACCGACCACGAATCCCTTTTTATTATTAAAAAGAATGAATTTTTGGTTATAAACGCAGATCAATTTATTTATTTTTATTTGATGTTTTCTTAAAACTCTTTTAAAAAATAATTTTTAGGTATTCGACCTACCTGACCCAAAAGGCCGATGGCGACTCCCAAATCATTTATTCACATTATTTTCCCGCCGAGTATTTAAAATTCGTGCCCGGACGAAAACCGGTTACGACACAGGACTTTACATACTTCTCCTGTAAATTGCACAGTGGTATATTTGTTGTCAATTCCAGATGTTCCTTCAAAAACCTAGCCAATGTAACATATAAGAAGAGAATATGAAGAATAAATGCATTTGCTATAACCGAAATTGCAGCACCAGACAAGAGGGTCTCGTTCCTTTTTCCATGGTGTAAAAGTGCATATAACAGGAATTCATAGTTACAAAGGAAAGCTGGAAGATTTAAGACAGAAATTACCTGAACAACAGCCTTTTCTCCATCAACTTAAAGGACTTGACCACATCTGGTTATTCCATCCCCTAAATGAATATTAACAATTTCTTGAAATTTTGGTCCCTAGAAAAAGCATAAACCCTCAGATAATGAGTTGAAATAAAAACTAAACAAGCTTGAGAATGATACCACATAATTAGTGAGAAAAAGAAAACTTGCCTTCACTTTATCAAGGATTACTAAAGGCCCAGCAACTCCAGAAACTGTTCTATATTCTGCAATCAACTCAAGAAAGTAAATAATTATTCTTTTAACTTTACCAGTTTTTTCATGCAGCACTTCCTGCTTGTCACAATGCATGTGACAATTTAACCAGAATCTTATGGTCAATTCAGCCCCCAAGATTAGACAGAGTACTCAATTCATGTTAAAACACAATTACTTATGATGATCATGGAACTAGTTTAAATCAAGCAGTTTACCCATGCCAATCTCCAGTGTTTCCTCCTCCATGTTGTTAATGTTTTTTGCCTTACCCATTTTGTAGTTCTGTCAAGAAAGAAAGCCACAATGAGCTTGATCCTTGAAATAGTTAAATTGCGGAGATCTATTAGATTACTGATTTTGATACTTCTCCTTTTACTATTTATTTCAGTTTAACATGAAAGCAGACAGTTGACAGCAAAACTTGCAATTGATTAAAAATTATTAACTGCCCATATACAAAAGCATTTATAGTTTAAAGTTCTTTATAAAATATAAAGTAATGATCCCTTTTGTTCTCCAGAAAGAAACATTTTCATTTTGAAATGCTAAAAAATACAGGATTAGCATGAATGAAAACAACAGTAGAACATGGCCAGAATTCTCAACCTGAAAACTAAGTAGAAGTAGCAATCAAGCTTTACCTTACTAAACAAAATTAACAACCGTTCCCTATTTATGCAGAAGAAACGAATTCCATTCATTTCCAGATTCATCTCAATTTCATAGTTTGCTACACTTGAAATCTATTCAATAAAAATGGCTTCCTCTAATCTTTAGCTATTCCCTATACACTGTTAATCACCGATATGTACTAATCACGTCATTCTAAATTCACAAAAAAAAAAAAAACAATACCGTACAGACCATGAAACTTCAATTATCAGAAATGGCTCAAACATCATTAGAATTGAAAACTATAATTCTTTTTATATTTATTTCCCTAGTCCAAACAGAAACTAAGTCCCGAAAGTAACATCCCTTGCAAATAAGATTAAGGAAAACAAACCTTCTTGTATTAAAAAATGGATCAAAATTAAGAAATTAAACAGAAAAAAAAAATCAACAACGTGAGAAAGTGGATCAAATTAGAATGGAACTGATTTCGGTATGATTAGTTTTTAAACAAATTAAATTTTAGGAAATTGAAATGAATTGAATGAAAAATGAGATTTTTTTTTGTATAAAAAAGGAAAAATAAAAAGAAAGAGGAACTTACTTTCTTTTGTGCTATTCTGTTCTTTCTTGTGTTCTTCTACATGGTTTCAAATAACTGCCGAATAAAAATATCACGGTCGTGATGATGTCTAAAACCTCTAACGCAAAAAATAATGGTGTGAATCGCGATCACACGAATAGCAGTAGCGATCAATCGCGATAATAAAGGACCGTTATTCGCTATTATTTCGTTATTTTAATTTTTTTTTTATAAAAACATGTTTTCTATTAAAAAAATTATTTCATTAAAAAAAATATTCACGATCCGTAATAACTACAATAACATTTGTTATATCTACGACCATTGCGGCCGAAAATGTGACCTGAACGTTATTTAAAACCTTTCTCTTCTGAACTGTTTCACGGGAAGCATCTATGGAGCGAGACAGATGGGGAATAAACTAAAAGTCCAAAAAGAATTTCCCAACTGCAAATAATAATAAATATTTTTTGAAAATAAATAAAATAAATATGAAATAATAAATAGTATAATAATTATAAGGGTTAAATATCTCATCAGTCACTGAATGTTAGTAGTATGTAGTTTGTTCACTAACCTTTAAAATACTTCAATTTTTCCCTTTAAAATTCACGAAATTATACATAAAAAATGGGAACTTGCTCGGATACGAGGAGTTCAAGATGTTTGTTCGAAATCAGAATGGTGAGAAATATTCCTTTGACAAGATAAACAACATATCCCGAAACTAACATCATTGAAAGATCATAAAAAAAATTAAAACTTTAAGACGTCAAACTTTTAGATGAATTTTCCGTTGATTTTAAACGAATTTAAAAAAATCATAAAAAATGAGTGAAATAAGAACACATTATTATCAATCTTGTCTCGGATGACGATCAATGACATGGGACAATTAATCAACGGTAGTTATTAGACGAGTTAACAATTTCTTTTATATAAAAACAAAGAAGGAATCAATATGTTGTTAATGATTTAACGGTTTAATATATTGAAATTTAAATGATTTAAAGTTTGGTGATCAAATCGATTCTTGACTGATGGGAATAAAAATTCAATCCTTGAATGTATTTCAGACTTTGTGGATAGGTTAATTGATTGCCTTTGATGAACTGTAGATTTATGAAAGTCACCAGAAACTGCACAAATTAATATTTATTACACCCTACATATAATAAATCTCTCGATAGCTGATGAGGGTTAAGAACTACATCAATTGCGAATTACACACCAGTTTTGTTGATGTTTTCCAAGGACATAACAGCACCCGATCTTTTCTCGTCTGATGGTTGAGAATGTGACATTAGAATATATATGACCCATAAGTGAAGGCATATGAGGTATACCAGAGACCAAGCTTTTGCTGTTGCATTTCTTCTCAAGAATATTGCACCAGCCAAAAATATAGCATCCAACTGCTTGATCATTGATCCGAGTTGCCGTTTTCCGGAACGGATTTTGTCTTCGAGCAACTCTGAATCAGAAAGACCCCATACCCCTGATTCCAAATCACTTGATAAGGCATTACTCATATTCAAGGACTTGTTCTCTTCCAGCATCCTCAAAACTGTCTGAAGAAGTTCACAGATGCAAATTACGACGTCTGCTGATAAGTTCCAGAAACTTGTATTGCTCATCGATTCATAAATTAAGTACCTCGATTCTAAAAGACAATGTTGCTTTCTCTGATGTGAGTGTCTCAACCTTCAAAAACAAGAGTGGACAAATGAATCTAAAAGAAGTAATGGTCATTTGATCTGGTGAGGAGCACAACAAATGAACTCTTCAGTATCAATTTGTTTATTCATGTTAATCAATACATGCATGCATTTCAACAAATGATTCTAAAGAAGTAATGGTCATTTGATCTGGTGAGAAGCACAACAAATAAAGCAACTCTTCAGTATCAATTTGTTTATTCATGTTAAGAACTGAATTATTGCAGAGAGATGCTTGGGGTAAATTATTCCGCAGATTTTGGAAAATGACCAACTAATAATTGGAGCCAAACTTGATTGTTTCTCTTCTGATGTTTCTCTCATCGTCTTCTTAAAGCTGAAAACATTTTATGTACAATGAAATACGCACACACACATCACTTAAAAGGTTGCTAAGGTTCAACTATCCTTGCACTTTGAGCACTTAACGACTTATTAGACAATAAAAACATTGATGTTATATCAATTAACCAGAATCGTCCACATGACCAGCATTTGAAAGCTGAATATATATATATACTTAAAAGGTTGCTAAGGTTTACTCATCCTTTCACTTTGAGCAGCTAACGGCTTACTAGACAGGAGAAACATCAATGCTACCTTGATTAACCAGATAATCCACATGCACAAATTTTGAAAGACAGACCTGAGCTTGCTTCTGAATTAAATGATCAGTAAGCTGTCCAAGCCTTCTCTTTATCTCAACCTCTACTTCTGTTGGCTCCTCCACCTCTTTCCTTGTTGATTCAATGCTTGCTTCCAGTTGTCTTGCCTGTTTGTTACACGCAAATCAAATTAATATATAAAAAACCAAAAACTTTTCCGTACTGATAAACTAATAGCAAAGTTATGTTCTTCTCTTTAAAAAATTGTCTTTGTACTTTCTCAAATTTCTTAGAGAATCCTCCATGTTTCTAATTTTGTTGTAGCCAAATCAACACCTGAAGGACTATTTTTGTTTAATAGAGCCCTTATTCGAATGGAAGCCATTAAAAAGATGTATCAGCATCTATGAGACCATTTACTTGCCTTATCAGCATTTACGAAGGCAACATATGTGGCTAAATATGGGATCTAATAATACTGTCGCAGCATCTATATGCCATATGAGCTAGGGGCTACAAGCCAGTATAAATGCCAACTCAGCATAAATTCTCATATGCTGTCATGTAGATGCAGATGCCTGATCTAGCAAATGTAATGGCCGTGTAGATAGCCATGCTGCAAAAATAAAATACCACTTTATGCAAAACAGAATGTTGTGGCTAGATCCAGTGCAGAGGCTGAATTTAGGGCAATGGCACTTGGGATTTGTGAATTATTATGGCTAAAAATTATTTTGGAAGATCAAAAAATCAAGTGGGAAGGTCCAATGAAGCTGCATTGTGATAATAAGTCTGCTATCAATATTACACACAATCCAGTGCAACATGACCATACAAAGCATATTGAAGTTGACACATTTCATAAAAGAGAAACGTGACAGTGGCCTAACTGCACTCCTTATGTCTCCACTGATGGCCAACTGGCAGATGTACTTACCAAAGGATTGTCTGGGAAGTATTTTCAGAAGTTAGTAACAAGCTGAGAATGGATGATATCCACTTCCCAGCTTGAGGGGGAGTGTCAGATTCCAGTTTCCTAAATAAGGAAATCTGGTTGTATTAGCTAAGATTCTGTAAATATGTTAGTAATTGTAATTCCTAACTTTAAGCGATTACTTTAGGTCAAACATATTCCTAGAATCAGTCTCTTCCCTACTTTAAGAGTTTGCTAACTTAGGCTTACTATGTCTATATATCAAGTGTAAAATTCCTATTGTATAATTGATCGAATATGATCTGTTTTGACAGTACTCAACAACACGGAACTGTTAGGAAATCATGCATATGTCCCAACAAAAAAAAGGAATTTAATGTGTTTTGTAGCTAAACTGAATCAATCTTCAGAGTTCATTATCATAATTATATATCTCATGCTTATTATATGATATATACAAGCATAAAAACATACACACTTGGAATGCATTGAGACTCTTAATAATTTAGCCAATACATAAAAGGATTGTGTGAGTTTGGCTCCAAGAGTCAAGTGGCACCAAATTGAATTGTGAATTAAAAAACACAACAAATAATAATAAAAATATAATACACAAGATATATATATAGAGACACACATTTTCAAAGTTGATGTTTCCTCTACCTCTTGCATTTGCATTTTGACCCAATCTATGTTCTTTTTTCTTTCTTAAAGAAATTACTTTTATAACATAACCAACTAATAACAAGAAAAAAGTCGATATGAATATATATAAACTAAATAATACTCCACAATTCCCATACACCCCAAGTTCTAACAACTATTACCACTTCCTTTCTCCTACAGGTACAAAAAGAATATTCTCTGTCAAATTCTTGCTACATTCGTTCATGAATGCTGCTTAGTAAAATAACCAGCAAAAGTATGTTCCACATGTTTCTTCCTCATCAAGCTTCTTTTGATTACATCAACATCTATATTTTCCCCTTTAGTATTTACTTCAAATTTCAAAATCTTAAAGTGAAAAAGAGAGAAAGTTTAGAACCTTTTATAGTCTCTTAATACTTTTCCTCTCCATGAATACAACATTAGTTTTTAGCGTCTCTACAGGTCAATTACTTCTCTAACATCAATCCTTACTTTTGTCTTTGCATTCCCTTAACTTTTTCCTTCAGTTGTCCTATATATGACTCTATGTTTTACTGCTTTGAGTCTAATTTATACATCAACATCTAATATCATCTTATAGATTTTAAGAGTTGCTCGCGACAATGTTATCCAATGCTTAATTTTTCCCAAAAGATATCTTTTGCAGCCTCATCGTTGTTTTCCAATGAATTAATAATCATAGTATTAAAATAATATGAGGAACAATTGCATGTTTTGAGTTTTGGTTCACAGGTTCGGTGACATCAATGTAGTTACTAAAACTAGAATTAAAATCCATTATATGGGTCTAAAACTAGAATTAACATCTATATTTTCCAATGCTTGCTTTGTTGGTAATTTAATAAAATATCTTATGACGAAAGCAATTCAAAACTGGGCCTTAATCCTACTTAGAAACAGAAAGGACAAATATGATCTTATACCAATATGGTAGAATAATGTTTTATTAGATTTTTATATAATTTTAGTGATTGAATGGATACAAATACATGAATAAGAACTATTAAACTGACTGAACTGATCTTTATATCCACTTTACCCCTAGCCCATTCTAGCAGTTAACAATAGCTAAATGGTGAACTTGATTTAGAGAGGGCAAAATAAAGAGAATAAGAGAGAAAGCTGGCCTTGTCTTGCAGTCGTCCAATTTTATCAGTGACAACAGAGTACTCTGACTCGAGGATTTCACATCCAAATTCTATTCCCTTTGAAGCTGCTAACTACAACATATTAAAATGAAAAGTTAACGGAAAAGTTTATCCAGAGAACCCTTTGGCACAAAGTGTTTTAGCTGAAAATGCCAGATTATAGCAATCTCTCTAGTCTCTATTTTACAGATCCAACATTATATGAGGAACAACTTAACTCACTTGATTCAGATAAGTTCCACTCTGATGATTACTGGTTATCCTCCTCTTTAGTTCTACAAGGTGAAAAAGAAATATAAGTAACTTGTAAAGCATGATAGAAATAGGCTGTTAGTTCAGCACAGTATTAGTCAAGAAATTGCTTATGACATTCCCTATGCCAAAAAGCATAAGTCTCATGGCCCCTTAACTTTTTAGCCCAAACTATTTAGGTAGTTCCATCAAAACTTTTACTTTATTTTATTTTCTTTATTTCCAGAATATGCATGACTTGTTAATTGTAAACTAAAATTACTTAGGAAAAATCAAAATGATCATGTGGGAAAGAAATCGATTTCCAATCTACTATCAGTGAGAATGGAAAAACAGCTTTCTTGGGGACTCCCCCGTGATAAGCAAAAGAACACCCTCAAAAGTCACAAGTTTTAATTTAATGCTCTGCACTTTGACAATAAAGAACTCTTAAAAAATTTACACCAAAACATTAATTTAATTTTTTAATGTTGAACAACCAATTACCTTCAAGGAGTACCTCGTAAATGGGTCAATTCCCATCAACCATAAGAGGATAAGTAGCCAAAATCCTAACACAACTCTAGATGCGATAATAAAAAGTTATTCTTTTTCATTCCTTTTTCCTGTACATATTCATTTAATGCAAGTGGTTTTATATTTTTCTTCTTTTCCTCATTGTTGGGGTTGATGTTGGAAAAAAAAAGATGAGGTTCTTCTAAATACTTTAAAGAAACTTTGTATCAAAATAAAATATACCTTCATGAGCCACTTCTTCCAGCTCAATTTGTTGTCTGAGATCTGCTACCCGATTAATCTGGTAATGAGACCATATATAGATTATGCCAGGATTAGGCTATAAAAGCTTTCATTGTGGTGTTAGTTTCATTTTTTTTTGAAAAGTAAGAATTTTATTGATAGGAGAAGGGAAACACATTGTTAGGGCCTCATTAAAAAACCTCCCTAGGCCTAGATGGAGGAAAAAGAGTGCACTCAAAACAATGAACAGAAAACCGAGCCAACCTGGAGAGTTAAACAAAGATATCACACATGAACAGAATACAAAATCTAACAGCTAGCAGGGAAAATAAAATGCATTTCTAACACCTCCCTTATCACTTTCCATAAGACCACGATGTAGTTCCCATACCAGATTGCCCATACAACTGATTTAAGTAGTAACATAGCCACCCTAAGTGGAGGAAGACGAAAACCCACACGACCCAAGCCACTCAAACCTCAACCACAGCAGACGCTAAGTCACAAGCTAGCTTAGCTTGTTGATCCGCTGATGAATTACACTTTCTGGATTAACCACAGTATATATATATATATATATATATATATATATCAATTCCCAAAGTCGCTACTAAATTCATTCTTCTAGAAGTAAGCCAGATATACAAAGCAACAGTTCTGGTTTTGTTTATATCATGTTATCTTAACAAGCATGAATTAAAAAATTTAACAAATGGATAAAAGCCAGGGTTCAGAATCCAGACGCTAAGGACATATTGTACAGAAAAGAAGAAATTGTCTAGAAAGGGGATAAGTCCAACCAGACTATATTTAGAAGTTTACCTGCACTTCAAGTTTCTTCTGTGCAGTAGCAAGTGATCTTGCAAGATCAGCATTTTTGGTCTGCAATTACAAGTGAGTAGTGATATCAGAAACAAGAACATCCATCCAAATGCAATAGACAAACAAAAATATGGAGAAAACTAAGAAAATATGAAGTAAAAATCTAAAGCCATTGTAGCAGCACCTCTAGCTTAGCCAGTCGCTGGAGAGCTTCCATTCTAGTATTATTATGTTTCTGTTTTTCTAGCTCAACAGCATCCATCATTTCCATTGTAGTAGTCTGCAGTTCTGAAGCCTGATGGAAGAAGAAGATTACAAGCCGTTAATGCTAGTGTTGAATTCCAACCACAGGACAAAGGAGGGGAAAAGAAAGAAGCAGAGGTAGAAACATATTAGCTTTAGGTAGAAAAAACAAAAAATAGGGATGAAAATCACGTAAAAAGATGAAAGTAAAAAAAATATAGAGTCAATACTCAAATCTCAATATTCATAAACCAAAATATACTAGAAACAAAGTGACATGTACTTACTAGTTACCAGACTACTCTCCAAAACCACAACATAAATACCAAATAAAAAATACAATCATGATCCGACTCTCGAAACAAAGTGACATACACTTAGTAAAAATAATTATGAAGAAAAATTTGAAGATGATAAAATCCGTGGCAAATGCATGAATTTTTTCCACTTCAACTTAGTTGGCATTTTGAATATTTACAACTTGCAAGCATAAATTTATGCGAGGAAAACTAATGCATAAACCGAATTATGAAAGAAAAACACAAGGAAGACAATTTTTCACAAGGAAGACATAATTTTTTTGTAGTTCTGATAGAGCTGCTAACCTTAATGAAAGAAAGAGGAGAAGAAGAATGTACAAATGCCTATATTCCAGGCTTTCCCATTCTTGTTACATTGTAGGCAGGGTTTCAAATAGCGGTCGAATAGTGGTGTCGAGGTCGCGGCGGTGTCCGAAACCGCTATCGCGGAAAATAACGGTGTGAAGCGGGATCACACCAATAGCGGCAGATCGCGGCCGCAATTTAACGGATCGCGGCCAATCGTGGACCGCTATTCCGTTATTTTAATTTTTTTAAAAAAAGTTTTTTTATTAAAAAAATCAGCTCATTCGAAAAAAATTCACGATTGCGATATCCGCAACTGTGTTTTAAAAGGCGTGAGGCGCTCCAAGGCGATTAGCTACTCGAGAGCCTCAATTTTTTGAGGCGCTTTGAGGCGAGAGATTCACGTACGCGAGGCGCTTAATTTTACAAAACATTTGTAAATATTTTATAACCATACCTCAAACACAAAACAACTTAATAAGCAAAAATACCAAGTAGCATAGGTCATATTGTATCTCAAAAAGACAAATAAAAACATCATCAATAATCAAAATGCCTAAAACTCGTCTTCATCATCATCATCATCAACATCAATGAAGCGGATTATATATCTAAATTCTAAACAGATTACCTAACAATTAAACATATTATAGATAAACAATTAAACAGATTACCTTAACAAAATAACAAGCAGATCACCTTAACAATGAAGCGGATTATATATCTACAGCTATGATAACCGATAAAGAAAGCTTGTGTCTTCCAATATATAAACAATTAAACAAATTACATTGAAGATGAAGCAATTAAACAAATTACAGTGAAGTAAATTAACCATGTAGGAGTGGAGGGGAAAAGAAAAGCAGATTGTACATACACTACAGTGATACAAATTTTAAAATTAAGACTTACCTTAATGGAGAAAATCGAGAAAGGAGATAGGAGAAACTGAGAAAGGAGTCTGCTTTCAACTTCAACGTAGAACAATCGCTGAATTAAGCATGAATGGAGGAGGGAGAGAAAATTTTAGGAGGGAAAAGAAGCTCCAGGGTATGCATCGGAGAAACTAGAGAGCTTGGATCATGATTTATAGACATACAGTAATTAAAAAATTAGACGTTAGAAGGTCAAGAGACAGTTCAAAGTTCCAGGAAAATATTAATGTAAGTAATTGGAATTTAAAAGGTCTGACTGTTGGAAGAAAATCGAGCCCAGACTCAAAATTTAAAAATGGGTCATTGTACGTGAATCGCTAAAAGCATCGCCTCGTCGCCTCGTCGCCTCTCGCCGCCTCCGACGACTGAATCGCCGCCTCATGTACTCGCCGCCGCCTTGGTGGTCGGAGGCTTTTTTCTAAACGCCTCGCCTCGCCTAGCGCCTCAAAGCGCCTCAGGCGCGCTTTTTAAAACGCAGATCCGCAATGACCGTAATAGCATCCGTTATATCCGCAACCGTGATAAACACGACGCAACCGAAAACGTGATCGCGAACACTATTTAAAACCCTGATTGTAGGTTCAAATCTAAAAGACATACCACATAAAATTTTAGTGCCCTAATTTATGACCTGGTTCTATAAAGAAGAAAACAGGAGGGTTAAAGCGACTGGGGTGAGTAGCCTCTAACAGAAGTCAAACATTCTATTCTTAACAATATTCAGAATTTGTTTGGTGGCACCAGAAGCCTTGATTTTGTTTGTTTCCAATTGTATGCCACCACCTTCAATCCCAATCACCCAACTCCCCATTACAAAGCAAAGTGTAATGCATCATGTTCATCCTGTGAACAACAAATTTCTGGTTCTATTTAATTTTCAAATAATATAACCTTGACAGTTTTGGGAGAAAAACGAATCCCCATAGTCAGAACTCAGAACAAAGTACTTTTCTTACCAAACTCAACAAAGGAAGAAATAAAATGAACACATGCTTGTAATAATGGGAAAAAAACATGAAATATTACCTCTTGTGCTTGTTGTTTGGCTCGTTCTTCAAGAATTTTCTCTAAGCTCTGTTTCTCTCCTTCTAATTTGGCAACCATATTCTCTCGTTCTTTGATGACCTCCACAGCTTTTGCTGCTGCTCGTTCAGCCAAAATCCTCTCCCTCCTCTTCCTCCTTTCCTCCCTCTCACGTTCACTTTCAGAGTCAGATGTTGAAACTGAACCTGAATCCGAATCAGAGCTTGCATCACTTGTTGTCTGAGAGGCTCTTTTTACATCATCAAAGGCTGAATTGCTAGATGGGCCAATGGACTTGGAGTTTCCAGTTCTTACAGTGGTTCTAAACTGGTCATGAGCATCAACCTTTCCTATTTTCACATCATGTGCCCCATCACCTTCTCCCAATTCCAACATCTTTTGGGTCGAATGGATCTTGTTTCCAGAATGTGTAAATCCTTCCACATAGGACAGAAGGTCTTTAGAATCCAATTCCCAACCATTTTCTTCATCTGTGGCATCTTTCCCTTTCTCTGAATTATTACCATCATTTTGTTTATCCACGCTAGACAATTCTTCACCATCACTCGGCTTTTCACTCAACTTATTTCCCAAAACTACATCTGGTCTCTTTACAGACTTAATGCCATCAACATTACTTTTTTGCTTCCTCTTCTCTTCCAGGGGTGACAAATGAGACCCTAAATATCCTTTCATCCTGGCATCTTTCTTCAAGCCACGAATCCCAGATGCCCCATTAGTACTAGAACTCGTGCCCTGATTTGGTGTACTAAGAAGTTCAGTCCAATCACTATCTGTGAGCTTGGTACTAGGTTTTGACTTGCTTGAAACTTCTTTTTCCACATTTAAAATATTAACTGAAGCATTCCTCTTACTATTATTCTTATCAATATTACTACTAGGTGTAGTAGCAATGGGATCACTGACCAATTTGCCTTGATAATCATTATTTTCTTGTGGTTTATATTTTAACTGATCTTTTAAAGATACAACGCCACTGGGTTTCGCTGGAGTGGCCAATTGAACCTCATCGGACGACTGTTTCTCATTCTTCCCAAGCGACTCCGCCGCTTGCTGGTCGATCTGAACCGCCCATCACATAATGCGGTTACAAGTCACAACTTCTCTAAATCAAATTAATATTTTCTTTCCTCAAAACGAAAGTTCAAGAAAAAGAAATGGTATGAAACCAGATCCATAAAAAATCGACAGTTAAAACCGAAATTAAGAAAAGAAAGGAAGAAAAAGTACTTGCCTGTTGAAGGAGAGTTTCAGCGACTTTGAGCTTGGATGAAATCCAATTAGCCATTAAAACCTTGCTCCTCTTTCTTTAATTTCCCTTTTTCTTTTTCCAGATCTCTTTAGCTTAAGGCTCGGTTTTACTATTTTGGCCGAAAAGAATTCGGAACTGCGATGAAAGGGAACGACGACGAAAGTGAATTGGAGGGGCGCGGGTAACGTCGTTACGTAGGTTTCGGAGTTGGAACGATCAAAGGCTAATAAATGCCCCAATGGGGTGTCTGTCGGTTATGTGACTGTGACGGTGAAGGCCTGAGTTTATCGAAAAATTAATTAAACGTGAAAGGTATAGGCCAACGGCTGATCACACGTGCGCGACTGTGACTGACCACCGGCACCGGTATTTGGCAAAGGTAGTCGATAAGTCATCCCACGATCCAAAATCTCCTTACTTAGCTCGTTCCGGTAAGGGCCCGAGTTGGCCCGTTGATTTATTGTAAAAAAATTATTTTTAGAGTAAATTACGTGTTTAGTATTTAAATTATTATTTTTGAGTCGTTTTAGTATTTAAACTTTTATTTTTTTAAAATTATACTTAAAGTTTAGTTTTTGTTTCATATTAGATATTGCCGTTAAAAACTTTAGTTTTTGTTTATTTTAGTGCCTCATTCAAAGTTTAATATTAAGTTTTGAAAAAAAAGTTTAGGTACTAAATGGACCAAAACTATTAGTTTAGGTAGTAAACACGTTAAGTTTTTAACAGCATGATACTAAAATGAAATGAAAACTAAGGTATTGTTTTGAAAAAATTGAATGTTAGGTACTAAAACGAAACAAAATTGATAGTTTAAGTACTAAATACATAGTTTAGCCATTATATTATTAGTGGTCGATGATTTTTTAGGGATTTTCACTTTATATACTAAACTTTTAAAATTTGTATTACGATCATTAATTTTTTTAATTTGTATTTATTCACTCACTTACAAAAATAATATTTGTTATCCCATTAATAAAATGAACCTTCATGTTTCTCTTCAACCTTCCTCCACCGAACTTACCACCATTGTTCAAGCTCTCAAAAATTCAATTTGGCGTGATGCTATGTAATTTGAATACAATATTTTAAATAAAAATCATACCTGAAATCTTGTTCTTTCTCCCCTCTCAAAATCTCATTGGTTGTAAATAGATATTTCGAACCAAATATAACCCGAATGATATCATAGATCATCACAAAACTCATCTAGTAGTTAAAGAGTTTCATTAACGTCCCAGACTTGATTATACTAAAACATTTAGTCATGTAGTTGAACCTACCACTGTCCGATCTATTCTTTCACTTACCATAATCTTTGGGTGGTCTCTTCGTCAAATTGATATCAATAATCCTACAAGGTTCTCTCATGGAGGATGTCTTTATGATCCAACCTCTTGATTTTATTAATCTCAATTCACTTATGTCTGCAAACTCGTCAAGCTGTTTATGGTTTAAAACAAGCACCGAGAGCTTGGATAATGAACTAGAATCCTACCTTCTTACTCTTGTTTTTAAAAACTATATCTCTGACACGTCTTTATTCACTTTTCGTCACAATAACAATCTCATCTATCTTCTTGCGTACGTTGGTGATATTATCGTCACTAGCTCAAATTCCACTTTGTTAAATACATTCATTTCTCAACTATCCACTTGTTTTTCCCTTAATGATCTTGGTACCCTATCTTACTTTCTTGGAATTGAAATGTTACCTCATCGAAATGGAATTTTTCTTAGCCAACACAAATATATCCAAGATATTTTAACTCAGGCTCATATGTCTAATGGCAAACTTGTACCTACTCTTTGGTCACACATCTTCCTTTATCCACAAACAATAAAACCCCTTTAGACAACCCAACCGAGTATAGAGCACTTGTGACCTGCCTACAATACTTAACTTTAACAAGAATTGATATATCTCTTGTTGTGAACATCCTATCTCAATACATACAAAAACCTACTGAAGATCATTGGGAAGGTTTAAAATGGCTCTTACGTTATATTATTGGGACTACTATACCTCATTCTCCATTACTCGTTCACTACACTTCATGCATTCACTAATGTTGACTGGTGAAAAACGTCGTAATTGTAAAATTAATAAGTCTTTTTCTCAGATAAATAAGTTATAAATGCATGATAGAGAAGAAAGGGTCGATTTGTAGTGACTTAGAAATTTCCAATGTCGGTTTGAATTGATCTTGATCTAGGAAATTGTAATAAAAAAAATAAAAAAGGGGTTTAGCAAAATAAACTGAATAAATTGAATAAAGTGAAAATAATAAAAGAAAGAAAAGTAGATGATTGAAAATAATTATGATGAAAGATAGTCTTCACCTCAATTCGTCTCGAGCACTGAAAAAGATATTACTTCGGGATTTCTAACGGTTACAGTCTACAAGGCCCAACCCTTGTAACTTACTCTTCTATTCAGTGAACTAATTTCCCAAAGTCAATCCTTGTAATTTAGACATTGTTTGGATTAACAACGGTTATTGATGTTAATGTCAATGCAACCTTTAGTGTTGGAAAAGCATGTTCTTGGATTATGATGTCTCAATTAGAGTCGAACCCGATCTCAATTTCCCTTAACGGATTAAGTTGTTTCCTAACTATCAACTAATTGGAAAATTAGCTAAGCATGATGGAATCATACTTATCATGTAAAAGAAAGTAAAGAAAATAAAGAATATGAAGAAGAATATAATCTTTATAGAACGAAAAATCTCAAGGAAAATAAAAGCCAAAAGTTGTGCCTCTATCAAGCTTCACCTTAATGGGTATTTATAGCTTGAGATAACCTAAAGAAAATAGAATACCTAAAGGCAATAAAACACCTAAAAATAATCCTAAGAACATTCAAATACTTATATACTAATTAATAGCAATAAAGAATCCTAAATAATAGAGAGATAATTCCTAATTAAAATAATAATTCCCAAACATTTAAATTTAATTACAATTCTTAAATCTTAGAGAGTTTTCATTTGTCCGTTTGATAACTCCATAAAAAGGCTATATTTTGTGCTTTTGTACTTAAGTTATTTAGTGTCTAAAAGCCATTGTCATAGCATTTAGTAGCATTTAGTTGCATTTAGGTCATATTATTGCATGTGGTGAAAAAGTTTTGTTGTAGCAAATTTTATTGCTAAAACTGATGCTACTGAAGGGAAAAATCTTATGCTTGTGGTGTTGTACATGTGAAGAAAGCAAAGGAAAAGAAAATATTTTTGTGGCAATTTTGATAAGAAGATATGAAGGACAAGTAAGTTGATCGAGAGAAAAATATTGTTGTCTAAAACAACAAAAATATCAAGTTGTCAAGATGTCTAAGGCTCACATGATTGCATTGCAATGATGACATTTTGGGGACCACCTGTCACCCTACCTCATATTCATGTGAAGTGCATGAATCTTAGGGTACAAAGGGAATTTTTGGGCCTAAAACCCTAGAAAATTCCTTAGTATAAATACCTAAGGATACCCTATATTTTAGAGGACTTTTGGGCAGTGACTTAAGCAACGGAGGCGACAGCTCACAAACCTCTATTTTTTCTTCTTCTTTTCCTCATTTTTTGTGGTGTCCTCCACACCCGAGCTTCGAAGGGTAGCAACTAGGGCCTTGAGAAAGGCTATCTCGCTAAGAAGGTTGAAGGCGGTGGTTCTAAGAGTCACGACAACTACTCATTTGAGAGTTTTTCTTCTCATTGTGTTTTCATTTCTTTATTTTATATGGGTTTGTACTTAACATTGATGATGGATGAACTTATCCCTGCCATGGTCTAATTTATTTGGCATTGGGTTTGCTTTGAATTATTTTTATTTTGTGTTAATGAATGGTTAAAGTATTTTTATGTTTAAAAGTTGTTTTGCTCATTGTTTATATTTTAAATGCTTAGTCTTGTAAGAGCTTTTGAGAGATAGACAATTTTTTAAGTATAGATGTTTAATATCAAGAGAGTTAGGCTAGATCGATGTGAGCAATGGAGCTAAGCCAAGATGATGAGGTTCTGATCTGCCTTAAAGATAAGGAGAGGATTTTATCAACTAAAAGGGATAAGATGTATTTGATAGACTACTGTTGCAATTCAAGCAGAAAGGTATTGTCGTAACATTTGTTTTATCAGGTTCCTTACTAAAAATAGCCTAAGAACACTATCAGTAAATCTTATCGGGCAAAATACTCATATAATACTCAGACTATTCTAGACATAGAATAAATTTTCGTCATAGCAAACCTAGCCAATTACCCTTATAGAAGCTTGAATGTGTAAGGTTCTCAAGTCGTATTTCACTCTCTGAAGTTTAATTTTAATTCTTGCTACAACATTATTTTTCTATTACAGTTAGTTCAAAATTTTACTTAAACTTTCGTCATAACATTTTCTTCCTTACACTACTTGCACATACAATTTTTGACATAGCCAAACTTTATTCATTTGTTTATATTGTCGTATATATATATATATATATTTACTTAGTGACACCCTTTTGTTAAAACTTACTTTTAATTCCCTCTAATCCTTGTGGAGACGATACTCACTCACTACTATATTACTTGATCGACTGTGTATATTTGCACATATTTTACGTTCAATTTATAGCACTCACAACAAGTATCAAGCTTTTGGCGTCGTTGTCAGGGATTAGCAATTGGGGTTTTTAAAAGTTTTATTTTAGCATTTTTTTATTTTTAATCTTTTATATAGTTTTACTTATTATTTTCTTTTGTTTGTCTTTTCAGTTTTGCTAGAGCATGACCCAAAGAAGACCCAGAGGACAAATATTACCTATTGAACATGAGATCAAACAGTTTTTCAGAAAAATGAGACGTGCTCAATGTGCTCAAAGAAACATGTATGCACTACGAAACCAAAGAGGTGAACAAGTGGAGGATCCTGAAGATCCAAATGTTGCAACATATCCCAATAGAAGAAATGCATCACGCTCAAGTGCTGTTAGATACCACTTGGCTTCTATCTTGGATGATCTCAACCCTGGTATAGTGGCACCAGAGATTCAGGCAACCCACTTCAAACTCAAACTGGTGATGTTCAACATGTTGAACTTGATCGTGCAATTTGGTGGTGCGCCTTACGAAGATATAAGGCAACATATATGTTCTTTCTTGGAAGTTTGCGATTCCTTTAGACAATAAGGGGTTCATGAAGATATATTGAAGCTAAAGTTATTCCCTTATTCATTGTGTGA